TCTCTAGCACAGTCACCGTTAACACTTGTATCATCCACTACCGTCATCAGGAGTTCTCTCATTGGCTGGACATGTTGTCATGGGATCAGCTCTCGCACAAAAAAACAACTAGTAAAAAAAGGTATTAATCGCCCACTTGCTAAGCATCACAGACTGGGCTGTAACTGAGGCCTTGTTTATTGTTCTCCCATAATTGTTCTTTTGTCTCCCAGGCGTTTCCCTCAGCTGGATGCTCCAGTGAAGATAAGCTCCACAGTGTCCAATGTCAATGTGTCCGTGCAGTTGGGAGATACGCCACCCTTTGCCTTGGGCTTCATCTCAGCCAACACTGGTAAATGGAGAATGCTGCTAAAAACAACAAGCAGTTGGCTTAGTTTGTGTGTTGGCTCATCTTCCTTCTTTTAAGAGTGCAGATTATTATGTTGCAAGAGGTTTTTATTTTAAAGGCCATGAAATACTCTTAAAAGAGGACCTATTATGGAAAAACCACTTTAATAGGGGATTTAAACACAGTTGTTTGGCAACAGTCTGTGAATATAACCAGCTTCCAATGGTGGTTAATTCCTTTTTTCCCAGATGATAAAACTTTATAAATGTAATTTTTATACAGTGCTTAGCATATATAAGTACACCCCTTACAATTATTTTTTTTTATTCATATTTTGAAAAGGAATATAATTAAATATAATACAATATTATATTTGTGCATATTCATTAGATTCATCAGTTCTGAAGCCAAATCTGAAGCTTGTCTAACAAAATAACTTGCGATAACGGTCCAAAAACTAGTATACCCAAATTTATATGTTAAAATTAATAAAATGTAGGTAAAAAATACACATTTAAAAAAAGAGGAAAAATTAAGAGAAGCAAAAAAAGAGAGAAAAATTTAGTTGAAATTTTGTAGGTTGTAATTGACCCTTCGCTAAGCCACACCCGAAAACCACCACATACCAATCATGGCTCAGCAACCGTTGCTATGCGCAGGAGGTCTGTTATTCTTTCGAGTGAGGGAATAAGCCAAAGTGTTGTGTATATGGATTGTGCAAATCTGATTCCCAGTATCCTAAAAGTTTGGATAGGGTGGTGGAATTTTTTCCCTTTTCAAAACCTCAAACCCCAGGGGAAAAATGCCAGTGTGGATTAAGCTCTGTGAGGGACACTAAAAGAGCGGGCTTAAGTTGGTTTTGTTTTTTGATATTCCTAACACATTTTGTGATACACTGAGGGCAATAACTCAAAAACCTCTTACCCTAAAAAGATCTAAACTGTGTTTCCTACAAAACTACAAAACAAGTTATGTTTACCAGTTATGTTTACCAGCATGTTATTATTATTATTATTATTTGCTCGGTATTATGACCACTGGCTTCAATTGGGATTAAATTATACCCCTGTAATGCATACTGCAGTCCTTTTTTTGTCTGGCTTTCTCAGATATCTCACCTGTTTGCCGAAAAGGACTAATTATATCCCTGGGAATGTCCGACACCGGCGCATACATATTGTAATAGACGTGCCAGGCACAAAAACTTGACTGGTGTTTTTTTAATGGTGAATTTAATGTTTGATGACTAAAATATTATTTTAATACATATGTCTGTTTAATAAATCTGTTTTGTTTAAATGCACCAAAATACATTGCCTATATTCACTGAGAAATAAGGATAAAATATTCATTTTCAAAATGGGGTGTACTTAATTATGCTAAGCACTATAATTATACTTCATAAAAATCATCTGCAGAAATACTTTGATTGACATTCTCCCTTTGTACATGTCATCATAGAGGGCAAGCTCTGCCCCATCTCTCTTTAGGATTATTTTTGGAACTGCTACTATGCTGACACATAGGCATTTGTTGCCCCGCCCTCTTCTGAAAAAAGCACAATCTCATTGAAATTTAAAGCGACAGTCACCAGAATCGCACTATTCGGATCAAAACCTAAAGGCTGATTTATACTTTCACCTATGCCCTGAGCAAAACCCTTGGCTGACTGTGCGTGCACAGCCAAGAACCGTGAAGGCTTTTATACTTGACACACTCGTCGTTATACTATTATTTGTAACAACAGGGAGTGTCTCTGAGTATCTGTCATTAAGTATGGGAAGTATTTATGATACAAGTATTTCAAATATAAAATAGTATTTTGTAATTTGTGTTTGATAGGGTTTCTGAGAATGGCCATTATTTTATCAAGATGATTTAGTGTCTTGTATTCTTGTATTTGACAATACTGTAAATACTTTGTTAGAAGTTTGCATGATGACATCATAAAAATGTGGCCTTTAAAAGTGGTGTTTTCTCAGTTATTCGCCACGGCTTGAGATCAGACTATAAAATGTATTAATATTAAAGAAGTTGATCAATGCTTGGAGTACGGATGGAAATTATGCATCACATATAAAGAAAGTAACAGACAAATAGCAGGGGTAGATTTGGGAGCAAGTCAAAATAAGACAGGAATATAAGACAAACAAGTCCTACAGTGGCGATACTTTCATGACGAAACAGTAGTAAAGAAAAAACCAGCGAGCGGATTTGCTAAATGAATGAGTTTAACTATAAATAAAACTAATAACTTGTAGATGTTTGAAGTACACTCATGAAAACGTTTGCTTTTAATTAGGGATATTATCGTTATCGTAACTTTTATCGGTATTACTACTATTATCGATACCACTTATCGGATACACGGATTCATCGGATACAATACAGCTGATGTAAAAGTATTTTTAATGTGTAAGATTTATTTAGGCTACTGCAGAAAAAGATACTGTTTTCCTTATAACCGAATGTGTGTGTTTATTTAACATTTAATGTTATACTAATTTAGGTCATTGACTGCTGGCATAACATTGTGCACTATTCATTACTTTTCACTGCAGTTAATGCACTTTTGAAAGATACTTTCACTTAGCCAGATTGCTTGCGTTTCTGCTTATACAAGAAAAACAACTTGTGTTTGTTGCAATGGACATTGTCGCTGTCCACTCGGGAAATACAACTTTTGGTTCACTTCGCAAGCTTAGGAGCTGTTTGTGCGCGAGTCTGTGTCACAAGCTATGCGTGTGCGCTTACATAGATATATACACTAGATATCGCATACGGACCCTGAGCTTGCGTCAATAGCATCTACGGGTGTAGTAATGAGCAAACAAAGAAAACAAAGCACAAAGGCAGAACATTTCATAGGTAAGATTTAGTTTTTTATGTTTTTGTATGTTTTGAACTTTTGTGCTAAACAGGAGTGTTTCTGGACACTTATTAGATCATATTTAACAAGGAGGGTGGATAGTACATTATACACACAAACACAAGTTTTTTTGTCAGGAATGCCTGTGCGGTTACTTATCCATCATTGTAGAAAAGTGATGTAAAATTATAAGTTTCATAATTAAAAACATTAATTTGCATACTGAACACCAGGAAAACTGCCGATCATAAATATGCATATATGTGTATTTCTCTGGCTCTGGATGGTCACAGTCCTCCACTGCAGCTTGGTCCCGCATTCATTTCAAAGGAGTGCTACCCTGTACTAAAATAGCAGCTCTATTGACGCGTTCCTTCCAGTAGACAACAACAGGGTAGGCGACATCTAATGTGTATATCCATGGTGCGCTTTAGCCTCTGCTGAGTGCATGCGCACAGCCGAGAACTGTGAGGGCTTTTATTTTTGACGCGCTTGCCTGAAACACAAGCATTTCCCATGTGAGATTGCCAACAGTACAGACAAATATCAAGTATGGCAAATTAGAAAAGGTTTGTCAGTTAAATTATGCAACTTTAAATAATGTTTATTTAGCTATAATTCTCCATTACCAATAGCAGAACTTTTAACGTCAGAGCTTATCGATACTTCTGTCTTTTATAATTTAGCACTGATATCGATAATGAACAGAGTTTCGTTAACCATCCCTATTTTTAATTCAGTTGTTTAAATGACGAACTTAGGTTACATTTTATATATTGAAGCTAACTGCGTACTTATTGCAAAACCTTTTATTCAATTAAAATATTTATTTACTTAACCTTGGACAAACTTTGCACAAACTTTATGCATTGTTTTTCCTTAAAGCTTCTAAAGAAACCTCAAGGACTTCATATCACGCAGTTAGATATTGCACATGTAAATTCCCCCAGCTCGGCCAAACTCCAAAATCGTTCACCTCGGAAACGTTCTGCAGCAAACAGTTACAAACAAAAGTTGTGCGCTCCACCAGTGGAAATGATGTTGTGTGCACCCAAAACGAACCTTCACTAACACCACAATAACATTACATTTGCATCGAGTATAAACCAGGCTTAAAAAAAGGGCAGCTTCAAAGTGTTATAAAACATAATTTGTGTGGTATTTTGAGCTGATTCTGAGCCACTCTAAGGACATTGGAGACTTTTTTTACATCTTGTAAAAAGGGGCACAAGTCAACTAGTGTTAAATAGTTGAGTTTTACCATTTTTGAATCCATTCAGCTGATATACAGGTCTGGCAGGAGCACTTTTAGCTTAGCTTAATCATTGAATCGGATTAGACCACGAGCATCTCACTCAAAAATGTAACCATGTATATTTTCCTTTTTAAAGCTTAGGTATTTAGTAGTTACAATGTGGACTACCAATATGGCTAGGAACTATACTCTCATTCTGGTGGAAAAATAATAATAGTAACCATGCCTGCAGAAGGAGCAATGATATTACGCAGATTCTAACTGGTGGTGCAAGTGTAGGGCATAGTGCTGAGGACTATTTTCAGGCGCTGCATAATATCATTGCGCCTGCTGCAGCCATGATGAATACCTTCCTTTGTGCCTAATAGAAGCAAAAAAAAAAATCATAAAGGCTTAAAAAATGGGAGGATGAGAAAATTTTGACACAATTAATTTTTGGGGTGAACTCTCCCTTTGATACCAGGTGAACACAGGGTCTCAGTTGTGAGGTGTGGCTAAATCTGGTGTGTCTTTCAGAACTGCAGCACTTGTTAGACTGTGAAGAGGATGATGAGAGGAGTCTGACTGTAACTGAGAAAGCCTCTCTGTCCCTTGATCATTTCTGGTGGCGTGTGGGGCAGGGATCCCACATCCAACAGGCTCCTCACCCACCTGGAAAACACGTCTGGGGTGAAGCTCTTATTCTGGACTCCCTCACACTGCAGGTAAAATCGACATGTAGCAATTTATTTTGCAGAATGGAAAATGTTTTGAAATGACGACCGATATTCATTATCTCAACTAATTTGTTCACAGGGCAGCTATAGTTGGCCAAGGACGGTGAACTCCAGCCCCTCTGGCAGTGTTTGTATGGAGTCCAATATAAAAGGTCTGCAGATGGAAGTGTCTGAGACCTGCACTCAGTGTCTTTCGCGCCTGTTCTCTGTTCTCAAACTGGATAAAGCAGAAATTGCCCCCTTACATTCTCCTCTGGAGAAGCCTTTAACCCACTTCACACCTCTCTTTAAATTTAAACTCTGTCTTGAGGATGTAAATGCATTTACTCTCTCCAATGTGGCAGGTGAGAATCCACTCCATTCCACTTTTTTTTTAAATAAGCTAATTTTTTAACTCACCTAGAGGTAAACAGTCAAGTTTTACCATTTTTAATACATTCAGCCAATCTCTAGGTCTGGCAGGAGCACTTTTAGCTTAGCATAAATCATTGAATCAGATTAGACCATTAGCATCTCAGTTTTAATAAGTTTGCTTTTTTGATAATTTCCTATTGTTCAAGCGGGCTCAAAGTTCCTTGAATGTTTCTAGATTTTTTTTTTTTTTGCAATTTTTTGAAAGATGCTAATGGTCTAATCCAATTTCATGATTTATGCTAAGCTAGGATAAAAGTGCTCCCGCTAAACCTAGAGATTGACCAAATGGATTCAAAAACTGTTTAGCTCTATAGGGGAACTATAAAACAAGTCTATTTCTAGTTGATTTGGGACATCATTGTTTTTGTGTGTGTGTTTGTAGGGGCTATTTCAGCGAGGGTGGACACAGTGGTTGCTGAAGGATCTGGAGAGAGCTCCAGTGTGTCTGTTCATGGTGTTTCTCTGGCTGTGGTGAAAGCTCTCACTGAGAGTATGGAGCCCTGCTGCCCAGCCGCTCAAACCCCCAGCCCCGTCCTGACCCTAACTGCTTTCACCATCTCCTACCATATCAGCACTTGCAGTCTGGAGGTACCACACCATCAAACATACTTTTCTAAATGTAGTAAGGATGCTTATTCTAAACTGTTTATTAGAATTTGTATTAATTAAATTTAAATCCTTATTCCTCATTCATTCAAAAACCTTATTTATTTTATTTGCTTTATTTTTCTGCTTGTTTTGGTTCTATTTTATATTCGTTATAGTCAACTTTTATGTTGCTGTAATTTTTTTTTCTGTGAACATAACCTTCAATGCTTACAGAACTATAACTACACCTACACATAGCCGTCATAATATCCATCGTGTTTAATCAGTTTTTGCAATCTATAAGCTCAGTTCAAACTCTCGGAAGAGACTCAATTAAAATTATGAAAATGCATTTTCTGATTTATTAAACATCACTCAAAAGTCAAATTTTATCATTTATAATAACTTCACCATTTTAATTTTATTTAGAATTGGAACAAAAAATTAGTATAAAACAAACATGAATTATAGTTGTATTCTTTATAAACAACATAAGCAAATGTCTTTGAAACAAAAAATGCTACTATTATGAATTCTTTTACAAGTTTTAGTATTATTACTAAATTTTATTTTATTATTATTATTATTTAATTATTATTAATAAATGTATTGTTTATCATTACAGAGTAATACTGTTATTTGGGTCCCTAAAAACCAGGGCTGCACAATATATTGAAAAATGATATATTATTTTATATATTGAAAAATGTTATCGTGATAATAGTACATGCAATATTCGTATTGCAGATATGCACAATGAGTTAAATGTATTTTATGTGTCATGTTACACGCAGTGGGTTGTTTAAGTTTGACCAGTTCGATTGGGCCTTGCTATTTTCATGCCCGCCTCACCAGTAGGAGCTATTATGCTATTGGCTAGACCAGATCAAAGGGAAAGGTGAAATGAGCCCAAAATAAAGAGAAGGGAGCTGAAAATAAATACTAATGCAGGAGAAGATCTATATCTGAATATCTGCCTGGATTTTCAGTCATTCAGAGAGTTTTAAAGTCTAAATGTTTTAGCCTGAATTAGATTTGATTAGATCAATTAAAATATCACTACATAAATAAATGTTATAAAAAAAACAAAAAAAAAAGGCATTTCTCTAGAGCAGTGGTCACCAAACTTGTTCCTGGAGGGCCGGTGTCTTGCAGATTTTAGCTCCAACCCTAATCAAACACACATGAACAAGCTAATCAAGGTCTTACTAGGTATACTTGAAACATCCAGGCAGGTGTGTTGAGGCAAGTTGGAGCTAAACCCTGCAGGGACACCGGCCCTCCAGGACCGAGATTGGTGATCCCTGCTCTAGAGAATCATGAAAATCATGAAAAAAATATTTTAGCAAAAACAAACAAATACAGTTTAAATTTTTCCACTTTTCTGCAGCCCATTTGAAACATTTTTGATGCTATTTTTCTTTTATCAAAAGCAACAACTTCCTCTTAGTTTCGCAAGAACCTTTTCAATAGCTCTGCTTTCATGTTAATGGGAACGCCAGGATGCGCATCAATTTTGAAAATGCACATAAAAACATACGGTATGAGCATAACTGAGTAGGATAAACTTTTTATTTAATTGCAAAAGATGTACATAAACTATAATGGAAACACTTTTAGCGAGCAAATTTCAGTATGGGCATTAAAAACAGTCATGTGATTTTGTTATAAGAGAACATGTTATGATAAAACTTTGTAAATGGACAAACCAACAAGCTGAGCACATTGTAAAACATCTGAAATGTTGTTTTGGTCATTCTAAAACGCTGTAACCGTTTCAGTATTTGTGTTATTATATTATTAATTACCTCCAGAAATGTCGAGAGTGTCTGTACTCCGCGTCTGATGCCTTCAAACGCCACCACGGTTTCATCGTTTGGAGGCATACTGCCTTCTGAGGTGCAAGTCAAATTCCATTTTAACTGTTGATATTTGGCGCCAGATGATCAGGAAGTGACTATTTTGTTCTCTTTGACTCGTTGGATGGAAACGCTGCTTTATTTACATGTCTTTTATGCGATAATCCAGTTTTGCGCATAAATTTAATTCACAGTTTTGGATAGAAACATAGCTAATGACATGTTTACAGAATCAAAAGCAGAGTAATAATAATCAGTTAGTTCTATCGACCTGTTACTCTTATTATGAGAACACTACAATTAATAAAATACGGTTCCCAATGGACAAAATCAAATCTTGAAATTTTTTTTTTCTTGTTTAAGAAGCTGTTTTACTCATATGATTACAAATTTCATGAGTGTAAACATTTTCTTCTGTCTTCATCTGCTCAGGTGCGGAGCGAAAGCGCTTTAACAGCACAGTGGACTCCATCAGACCACATGTTTCTGTATCAGCATGTCACCGAGAGCCGAAGCTACTGGAAAGCGCTTTCTGCATCTCAAAACCTAAAGCATTCAGATGGAGCAAAGTCCTCTTCCTCCAGCGTGTTAGTGTTTGTAGAGCTGGCGAGCACAAGACTCACTGCCCATGTGTCCGAGAAGAACTTCATCATCTTCAGCGCAGAAGCTCTGTCGCTCTCCAAACGGCCTGGAGCTGTGCTGATGAAGACTCCTCACCTGGTGCTCAACTTTGATGGCAATGACATCTTCTCTTTTTCTGAAGCCGAGGTCCAGATGCTGGATGAGCTAGAGGCGATGCAGCAGCACAGATCTCAATTCCCATTCCTCCAAACACCTCGCAATCGAAGCTGGATCTTCACTGCGCCCAGCCTTGCCATAGAGTTCCCTTATCAGTACAATTTCTCAGACACCTTCGACAAGGCCATCAGTGTGCAGAAGTGGTTGAAGACCCTACATGGTGGCGTCATTCAATCAGAAGAACCCTCTCGGCTACCACCGGACCTGCTGATCCGCATCAACCAGTTCTCCTTTGTGTTCCTGGACGACGTTTTCGAGATCAAGCTGCGCGACAATTACGAGCTCATGAAGGACGAAAGCAAGGAGAGCGCCAAGCGTCTGCAGCTGCTGGATAAGAAAGTTGCAGAGTTGCGCAAGCAGCATGGCGAGCTTCTGCCGGCCCGGAAGATTGAAGAGCTCTACACATCACTTGAGCGCAAGCACATCGAGATCTACATTCAGCGGTCCCGGCGTTTGTACGCTAACACACCCATGCGCAAGTCTCTGCTCACGTGGACGGTGTCAGAGTTGGAGCTGGTGGCACTTGCAGATCAGTCTTTGCATGGCCCAGAGCAGATCCGAGAGCAGCTGCGGGACATCGATGGTGTCAGCCCCTTCCCCAGAGATGGCCTGCAGCTGGTGGTCCAGTGGTGTCGTGCTTTTAAATTCAATCTAAATGCATTCCTGGGTAAGTCAATACTGGGGTGTGTAATCCTGCTTCTGACTCTAGTAATAGTAAGATCTGAAAAGATCTGAAGTCGCATACTTTTTTGTTACTATAAACAATGTAGTAAGCAGTGGTGTAAAGTACCAACTTACACATACTCCTCAAGCTACTGTAAGTAGTTTTTCGCTGGAATTGTAATTTACTAAGTAGTTTTAAAAATATTTACTATTACTTTCCCTGAAATACATTTTTAGTGCTGTATCGGTACCTTTACTGCACTAATTTCCTTTGACCTGCAGTCAGTACATTTTTTTTTCTTGTTAATGGTGATTGGCTAAAGTAGAAAAAACAGTCCTACAATTCTTTTACATCATATTAAACAATTTCAAGTAGGTCTGTGTGATTAATTGAAATTTAATCGCAATTGTAATTTGAAACATTACAATTAGTTAATTGCAATAATCTGCAACAAAAAAAAAAAAATATATATATATATATTAGTGCTGTCAATCGATTAAAATAATTAACTAATTAATCGCACCTTTTAAAAAAAATAATCGCGATTAATCACATTTAAAATACTGAAACTTGTAATTTTGGCTATTCAAATGTAAAATTAATGTAAACGTAAGACAAAAATTATGCGCTGCAGACGTTTTGGCCCCAACGGCCTTCCATACTGGAGCGACTCCCCTCAGATTCAACACGCATGATCACGTTCATCAAATTTGCTTAAACTAAGATTCCTAAAGTATTACTGTATTTCACAAGGATTCTGACACAACAACGCGAAGCATGCGCTTTCGTTGCGTTTAATGAGGAAACACGCTAAACTTGGAGGGCTCATGCAGAAAGCAGAGTAATGCCCTGTCTTTGACAGCTCGCTACTTCACCAGAGACTTTCTGAGTACATTCACATAAGACACCAATACTCCGATTTTAATATGATTAAGATTATACTCTTATTAAAATTCTTCTGTGTAGCCTAAGCAGTGATTTTATTACCTTAAAGGAACACCGAGCCACGAAATGCAGAGGATTTTCTTTCTGTTCGCCATGCGGTATCAACTTACAACAGAAGTCGAAAGAAAAAATGAAACACCCGAAATTGCATGAAACTTTGGAGAGCCTGGTGATGCGACTAATTTTTTTATACTGAAACTTGCCTTCAAAAAGTGCTTCCTTGGTCTTATATACATTTCTTGCATGTTAAACACACGTCCACAACAACAGGAAGTAAAAAAAAAACCTGCAACTGCGTTAATTTTTTTAACACGTTAATTATTTAAAATTAATCGCATGCGTTAACGCACTAATTTTGACAGCGCTAATATATATAAATATATATATATATATATATATATATATATACACTTAGCCCCGTTTATTTTTTTTCCTCAATTTCTGTTTAACGGAGAGAGGTTTTTTTTCAACATATTTCTAAACATAATAGTTTTAATAACTCATTTCTAATATCTGATTTATTTTATCTTTGCTAAGATGACAGTAAATATTGTTTTACTAGATATTTTTTAAGACGCTTTTATATAGCTAAAGATGCTTCTATAAAGGGTTAACTAGGCAGGATAAGGTAATTAGGCAAGTTATTGTCTAACGATGGTTTGTTCTGTTGACTATCGAAAAAAAATATTGCTTAATGGGGCTAATAATTTTGACCTTAAAATGGTGTTTAAAAAATTAAAAAACTGTTGTTGTTTTTTCTAGCCAAATTAAAAACAAATGCGACTTTCTCGGGAACACCAAAAAAAAACTTAATATATTTTTGTATAAACTTGATATAAACTTGTCAGTTTAAGAATTTACCCCTAAAAATTGGTCTCCCATATGTTTTTATACTTATTAGTTTATCAACCTATTAGCATAGCACATGCTAACTTTAAGATCTATTAAAAATCGATTGTGAGTCAATCTCCTGTATGAGTGGATTTTTCAGTCATTTACGATGACTTACATGCTTAAATTCTTGTGTGTTTCAGTACGTATCCGAGATTACCCTCGCTACCTGTTTGAGATCAGAGATTGGACACTGTCAGGACGCCTGATGGGCACAGAGCAGGACGGGCAGCTCAGAGCAAAGCGCAAACAAGTAGTCCAACTTGGCCAGCCATGGGGCGATGTGATTGTTTATAGGAATATGCCACCTCTGAAATTCTATTATGACATCCACTGTGAGTCATGCTTTTTAATTGTTTATTAACAACCCATAAACACAATATAATACAATAAACCATACTTAAGTTCAATAATACAGACATAGACAATAATAGATTAATTAATACAACATTAATAAATGACATGAGCACAGTTTTTAGCCTATCACAAACCTCATCATGACCGAGCTCCCAAATTATGAATAGCTAAACTGCTGTTATGAATTAACCAATATTTTAATTAAAGGAAAGCTTATTCAATTACAAATATTTGAGTCACTTTTGATCATATAAGTCTGTGATGTAGGAATCAACCGATGTAATGTTTTGTATAGCGAGCATTTCACTCTACACCATTGTGTGGGGGCCTTGCTGGGACCCTGCTTGGACACTGATTGGCCAGGCTGTTGATTTACTGACCAAACCCACAGCTGACCCATCCCCCCTTCTCACCTGGTGGGATAAAAGCAGACTTCTCCTGCATGGTCGCTGGGTAATGGACATTGAACAGGCCAATCTGCATCAGCTCGCTAATGAGGTACTAGCACACCTGCTAGCACAGTGTTTTGGCCCAAAAATGTACATCATGTGTTGACTTTTATGTTTAATTTTTACAGGACCCATACAACACTACCGAGAATCTACACTGGGAGTGGAGCAAGCTGAACTTTGACTGGACTCCGGGGCAGTTTGTCTTTAAGGGTGACCTGGATGTCAACGTTAGAACAGCATCCAAGTACGTTAATTGCAGCTGTGTTGTGTTTATATGTGGCTAGGGGTGCACAGTAAGGGTGCTTGTACACCTGTGAATCGATTCAGTTGTTCCGAAACAGAGATTACAAATGTTACATTGTTGCTCTTTGCTCTTGGAGAGGTTCGCTTTCACACTGCAAAGTTTCTAATCGGACCAAAAGAGCTAAAACAAGTCACGTGTGAGTAAACTCTCCTCACATTGGTCAGAGTGTCAGGGTTTATTTTGCAGAGTCCCGCTCAGATGTCAGGAGAGGTGGTGGTTTGGTGGTGTTTGACAAGGTGTGCGCGATATGTTTGAAGAGTAGGAGAAATGCGGTGGGGAGGGGTGAGAAGGGTGTGTGACGTAGCCTATTTGAGGACTAGGAGGGAGACGCGAGATTACCGGGAGATCATCACTCGTTTGCGGGCATCCGGAGACTCGCAAAACTTCCCACCCTACTCATAATTCTCGCTTTATATAGCCGTATGCCTATTACATATCCATAAAACACTGTGATATAACAGCGCTCGGATCGTTTGCTTTCTTACTGCAATCGATCCGCTCCAGAGTTCGTTTCAATCGAGCCGAGACCACCTCATTCAAGCGATTTCAGAGCGATTGATTTGGCGCGGATCAGAGAGTGGTTTCACATATGCCAAACGAACAGTGCTAACTGGGCAAGCGAGACAAGTTCCGAAACAAAAGTGTAGGTGTGAAAGCACCCTAAAACAAAGGGGATTGTGTGCGAATTGAATCAGTAAAGCCGTTTCTATAATTAGTAGTACATTTCCAGCCCTTGCTTTCAGATGGGGCAAATTTTACTACTCAGAACCATAGTTCACGGACAAGCTATGGAAAATTAACCCTACTCGTACTCAAATCCCAGTATTTAAAATTATAATGGCAGTTGGTACAAATGACATTTTTCCTTACTTGAGGTTGCCTTATCTGTCCTTTTATTTAAATTGTGTTTGAGTGAAAAAAAGTCAAAAACATACATGCTTGAAATAGCAGACCTAGTGAAAGACTTTTGTGCTGTTTGTTTCTATACAGATATGACGATATCTGCTTTCTGCATCTCCCGAGTCTGTGTATGACCCTTGAA